TGTGTGTGTGTGTGTGTGTGTGTGTGTGTGTGTGTGTGTGTGTGTGTGTGTGTGTACACTCAGAGCCCTTCTGTATCGTTTCTCTGTCATGGAGCAATATATTCTCTGAATCTCCACAGCAAAATCCCAGGCATCATTAGCTGCTCCTCTGAGGTTCCTGCAGGGATTTACAGCAGAACTTCCTGACATTTACTTTGTTTTTGAACCCGAGAGCTCATTTTGACCAGGTCACTGGTCATATTTTTTCCCTCCATTTATAAAGAAAGAAAAAGTTCTTGTCGGTCACGTCATGGTTCACACACGGGGTAAAAGGAGTATAGATAAATCTTTCAGCTGTAGCTCAGAAGTTTATTTTTTTTCCCATTAAAAAGTGAACCGGTGGTTTGATCCCAGCTTCTTCACATGTCTGAGACAGAAACTAAACCCCAGGTTGCTTCTGATTTTTGAATCCTGTGTAAACAAGTGAATGTGACATCTTGTACAAAATCACTGAGTGGTTTGCAAGATGTGGAAACATGCTTTATAGATGTAGTGCTTATACACATTTTTTTTCAGTTAGACATTTTTCCTCTCATTCCAGTTTTTAGAGGAAGAAAAATTGGACCTTTCTCAAGTTCTTTGTAGTGTGTGTAAATGTAGGAAACTCCAAATGGATCTGAATTTTAGCACCTTGGCAAGACAGTTCTTTGAGAATGTGGAACGTTTCTTGAAATTAGCCAAGTGCAGACCATAAACACTTTTATACTGGAGCCACAAATTAAATGTTTTTTGTACTCTTAAAGGCAACAGAAACAGAAGTATGTTTAATATCAGTAGTACGTGTCGATTTGGAGTAAATATTCGTGTATCGTTGTTGAAAACGGCCCAGAAATTGGCAGAACTGATTTTGGCTGTTCCCTCTGCAGAATCCTCTCTCCAACACCTCCATGTCCTCTAACTGCACCCATGGATCTCCTGCTTTGTCTTTTTCCTGGCAGCTGCATCTTTAAGATCCTTTACCAATATACTGTCCCTCCTCTGGACATGAGACGGGTCTGGACAAGCTGCAGTGAGGACAGAGTGTGATGGAGGACGACCCCCTGAAGAGGGAACGGCTGAAAGAAGAAGTCAGTTCTCAAGGAGAAACATTTACTGYAMAGTTACAGTTCAAACTGATTGTAAATGTACGCTTCCTGGAAGCTTACAGAACATTTTGGTGAGGTGTTCAGGGTTTTATCTCTTGGGCTAAAATGCAAAAACTTGAGTCTGGGAAAAGATAGATTTTTTATGTCATTGGAACCCTGCATGTTGTAGTACTTTATATAAACCGTGATATAATTTTATCTGTTAGACTGAGCTGTAACGCTGAAGTGTTGTACACAGAACATCAGACCCAAGATTCAATATGGACTTTTAGCCTCATCAGGACCCTGTGCCTCGTGTTGCCCCCTGCTGTCTGTTTGACAGCAAACAGTGATAAATTATTCAGATCATTTGAGTAACAGTAAAGGTGATATGATAAATTGTCTTATAACATTGAAATTTATTCAAAAATTGTTTTAATCGCTGCTTTAAAGTTGAATTAAATCTGGACTGTTCCAATTTATTATTAACTTTTATTTAAGATGGCAAGTCTSATTGAGATCAGACTCTTCTGTAAAGGAAGCCTGGATCTGAAGGCAACACACTTTTTTTTGTCTACAGGAGAAAAATCACACATGCATGAAAATAGGCAAACTCCAAAAAGACCACTGGTCCAAACAAGATTGAACCTGAGACCACCTTGCTGTGAGGCATCAGTGCTAACCACTGATCCCATTTATCTGCCTGAATTTAAATGGTTCAATATATTTCTCTAAATGAACTGAAGTGCACATTGAAAGCAGACTGGAATGGTTTAATGACTGTTTAGCAGCTTTGCTGTATTTGCTTCAGCAGTTTGAGTCACACGTGTCGAACTCAAGGCATGCAGGCCAAATTTGGCCCACCATGACATTTTGTGTGGCCCATGTTAATGTGTTACAGTGTTAGCTCCTTTAAAGCCGGCATTGATCATGAACCACATCTCCCATGGTGCATGTTTAAATATTTTATCCACAAAATGATGTCATCCCCCCACTAGGTGGAAAAGTAGCAAGAATTCTCACAAAATTTCCTAACTGCATTTTCACCAGCTACTTTTGCTGTTTATGGCACTAGGAAGTGGGAATTCCACACTTACAGGTTGTAGATTTAAACTGAACCATCCCCTGCRGTGGGAATACCCTGTTGGAAAGTGGAAAGTTCAGAATTCAAGATGGCAGCTATACTTACAACTCAACACTGAATAAAACCTCTTTGTTTTACTTTTAATAGTACTTCTGTATTTTTTTTTTCACATTTAGTTGGTTAAACGTATTTTTCAGCATTTATATGAGGAAATGTTCCTATTTCTTTGCAGGAAACACCACAGAGAGCTCAGTTACTGTTAGAAGTTCTCATTGATAGTGATGAGATGAGGAACTTGATGTTTTGTGTTTAGTTGRAGTTAAACATGAAATATTAAAGTTTATTACAACTGGCCCTTTAAGGCCCACCAWAATGCTCATGTGGACCYGATTTGAGTTATTGACTACGATGACACTGAAAGTAAACCAATCCATTTATCTGAGTGTTGCAGATTTCTGATCTCCACTCTCAATGAACAACAGCACTGATTGTTGCTCAGAGAAGAGGGGGCTCGTGGAGAAATGCTTTGCTTCTGCTGCTTTTTGACCCTAATCGCCTCCGCTGCAGCAGGTAAACACGACAGAAGATGCACATGTACAATAATTTTTATTTCGAGGCCACAGCTCTTGCATATGACAACTGTTGGCTTTCATAAGGCAAAAGCAAGAATGAATTCACCAGCTAATTCACACAAAACAGAAAAGCGTTTGGGAGGGAAGGAGGGGAGCGGGGGCGGGGCAGGAACCCACAGGCATGCAGCGATGGCTCAGAATGCAATGTACAGCATTTATATTTATATATATTTATAGAATATATACAAAACAACAGTGAGACCCAAACAAATGCCAGACATCTCATTCTACACAGTTACAGAACAAAGACGGACCAACTTTTAGGTTTTTTTTTCATAAAAAAAATTGTTTTTTGCTCTTTATCTCTGTAAAAGTGCAACTCAATTAAAATACAACCTGTTTCTAGGCTCATTTTTTAATGTTGAAATAAAAATAGAATCTTCCAAGTTATCAAAATGGATCTATGAGCATATTGCATCTCCTGAATCCTCACGTTTCGGAGTTTTGAATCCTGTCTAAATTCGTAATCGAGATGAGATCACACAGCTTCAACACGGGACGGAAATGCAAGTACTTCCTGTCGGCTTTAGAGACCGTGAGCGGACGACAGTTTATTTTTAACAGGCGAGAACAAATACAGAGTTGTTGTTGTTTTTTTTTTATTTTGTTTTGTGTTTGTTTTTCATCTTTTTAGTCTGAAGCAGTTGGCATTCACTTAAAAACGGACAAGACAAAGAAAAGGGTCCACACACTCGTCATCACGACAATGTACCATTAATGAATGTAAAGTACGACAAAGAAGCGCCATATAAGTTTGCATTGGACAGGGACACACCGATTAATCTCACTCAACATTGTCAAACAAATGGTTCTCCATATTGCTTAGTAACACATAGAAATGAATTTAGAAATGAGTGAAGATCAAAGGTAGGTTCTATCTTTATTATGACACAGCTAAACTGCCAATCATGTTTTATTTATTTTTTTTACCTTTTTTCCATTACAATTTCTAGTTTTATACTTAATAGTTCCTTCATAGGCATTTCGAGCTGACAAAGAGGTCCTAGAGTGGCTATCTGAGTTGGTACATGCATCAGTAACCAGGCTAAAGTCAAAAGTGTGAAAGGGAGGAGGGGGGGGAGAGAAGTGGAGGAGGAGGGGGGACGGGTTCAGACGGACAGACGGGTTGGAGTGTCGGTACACAGGCTCTAGTCCTCCTCGTCTTCTTCGTCGCTGTCCTTCATGGAGATGCCCTGCATGCCCCCCTCCCTCACTGAAGCCGTGGCCTCYTCCACGGTCAGCCTGGTGCGCACCGTCTCGTACATCTTACTGTTCAGGGTGGAGTCCAGGACGCCCTGCAGGCGGAAGTCCCTGTACTTTTTCTGCAGGAGGACACACAGATGTTGGCAAAATGGACGATTTATCCAGATGTGTTGTTTTCCCCTTTTTCCCCCGYCTTACCTTTGTGACCCTGATGAGGATCTTGAGCTGGTAGACGTGAAGCTGCTGATCCATGCGTTCAGTGAGCCAGGTCCCCAGCAGGTTCATGGTGGCAGTGTACCATTGCTGAAACACATAAAGACAACACTCTCCAGCAAAACACACACTCACACACAGACTCAGGACACTATGATGTGAAGCKAACCTTCAGGACACATGGAAACTACACATACAGTATGTTCAGCATCAAATATGGGAATTTAAACATCGCCTCAATAAAAACTAAGTGTTTGAACAATAAAAAGGGACTAAAGATGAGACTCTGTCCTGCTTTACAGCAGCACAGGTCCAAAGTGCCTCTGATTATATTCAAGAATTATTACTTTTGTTACAAAAAGAGACACAAAACAACCCCTGYGAGAAACAAAGGTGATGTAAAAAGATCACAAGCACCAAGATTAACTACATGAGAAACAAAAAGACCAACGTGAGACAAACAACATAAAAAAAGGCACGAATGGCTACAAAGAGACACGAAAGATCGATGTGGGACAAAAGTAAAAATGCAAAGGGACACAAGATGTGAAGTTTGCAAATGGTACGCACAATTAGACGGAAAGACTTTCTAAAAGCCACAAAATGTAAAATGCCTCGAAAATAAGCGAAAAGGATTCTGCAGAAAGACTCGAGAGCTGAGACGTTCTCGCTGAACGACCACAAAGAGACAGAACATGACCGATCRGGGAGTCAAAACAACCAACATGGAACAAGCAAACAGCCATAAAGAGATGCAAAGACACACAGCAGAGACATAAAACCACTGCAAACTGGATCTGCGTGGTTTATACTCGCAGTGCGTCTCTTTCAGTCTCTTTGTCTTATCCTTGTTTTATAATACGTCCACATTTTACTTTATTCTGATATATTAGAAGAGTTGTCATGTTTAAAATAAATACTGTTTACTCTAGAGGAACTATGAGCTGCAGTTAAATCTGCTTTCAACTYGGATTCATTCAAATATTTTGTAATATATCAATTACTTACAATAAATTGCTAAAAATCAACAAGCTAGGTCTTCCTGTCTCCTTTATCYGTTTGATCTAACATAAATAATTCATAAATAATTACAGACTTTCAGTTAAACACCTGTCCAACAGAAAAGAGACAGCAATGTAAAGGTTGTCATCGTTCTTATAAACTGCTGTGAATCTTTGACTTGTTTTATTTGGAACTGGCTCAGACTAGCCATTAGCTTGTCTTCAAGAAAACTAATAATGATCTGAGTGACTTTACTGCAGGCAGAGGTGGGTAAAGTACACAAAAGTTGTACTCAAGTAAAAGTAGCACTACTTCAACATATGTTTTACTCACGTAAATGTAAAAATTAGCTGTCAAAAAATTACTCAAGAGTAAAAAATTATTTTTGCATTAAGGCTATTTGATTAATTGATCATAGCATCTGATTTAATATTTTAAAATGATGTYGTCAGACTGACAGAAAACTATGTGCAAATTCTGGTGTTTTTAAAGACTAAAATAAAGTAAAAAAAATAAAACTAATAAGTTAAATAATTACAAAATAACAAATTCCAGCAGAAGAAACACATTTAAGTCTAATTTTTCTCCTTTCTGGTTAAAGCATGTTTGTTACTTAAGATTGGTAAAGTATTGAGAGTTTTTACACAAGTAAGTTGAGATGCTTCATAATAAAACTCCTAAAAGTATTTTTTTTCAAAGAGTTACTCAAGAAAAAGTAAATACCCACCTCTGACTGCAGGTAAGATATTTACTATAACATCTCTAACAAGTTATCAAACATTAGATTTTTCCTTCATCAGATTAGTTTGTGTATTTGACGTGGCTTCATGGCTTCATTAAAGCAGGTGATGACTTCTCTAAAGCTAAAAAACTAAACACATTTCTGAAAGTAAAAGRTCCAAACTGCTCCAACTTTGCTGTAAGTCTGTTAGGAGTTTGGATATGTTTAGAGGAAACAGCATCTTCTGCTTCTCACAGTAAATCAGTTAAGCTCGATTTGACTCAGATGCCTGTAGGTGGTTAATAGTTTGAGCCTGACTTGGCCCAAAGGTAACTAAATCCTCCCAGCAGCGACCACATTTGTTTGATCCAATCCTTACAATCTCCAAGGAAAGAAGAACTCCAGTTAGTTTTCTTTATTTGACCAGAAATAGTCCAGAACGGAAGTGATTATATAATGAAAGCTTTAAGGGCCAGCTGGAGGAGTTTTGTTACCTCTGCAGGAAGGCAGATTGGCCATTTTCCTGCTTAACGGAACCAGTTTCCTCTGGACCATCGGATTGAGCAGACAAGAAACTATTATTATTTGTTGACATTTGAAGAATCTGATCCAGCCAACCAGTTTTCAGGGACTTCAGGTTCCTGTACTGGATAAAATTTAAACAAAAAAAAAAAGATCCAAGAGACAATAAACTGCACAATAAGTGCCTTATCACCTCATCTGTAGCACTTTATAATAACAACACTTTATTTAGCTGCACTTAATCAATAATTAATTAAGTAACTTTAAAAACAGTTTTTATTAAGGATGATTCAGACTTAATAAGCAATAAAATAAGATGTTTATTAACGCTTTACCCATGAAGGCTAATTACTTCCAAAACAACATACTCATTGTTTATTCATGCTTCATAACTTATGAATTAACTAATATATTTACTGAGTGCAAATGTATGTAAATGTATTTTCACACCATGTGTTAGACATGTATTAATGGTCAAAAATATTTTAACTGACTATCTACAAATCCTGCAGTGCATCAATAATTAAGGCAGATGATAGTACTGCAGTTGTCTTTTTGTGAACTCAAGTGAAGACTATTTTTGCTTTTTTAAGTATTTTTTGATGTAAACAAAACCCTGAAGGACCACATGTTCCCTTTCACCAGTGGAAATCAGCCTGAAATCAAAGTCAAATCAAGCATTCTATAATCAGTTATACCTGTCTAACTCATGGTGTGACAATACATTTATATGAGCATTACATACATACACACAGTATATAGATTAATTAATTAATGAATAAATAATGAGTACATTGGTTTAGGATGTAATTAGTCTTTATGGGTAATGCATTAATACARCTGTTCATTTATAGCTCATTAAATATGAATCATCCTTAAAGGGGCAATATTATGTGTTTATCAGGCATATATTTAAATTCAATACCATAATAAAGTAACTATGTCACCTTCAGTTGTTACTAAAATGTTGTTTATATGTTTAAATAGAAAATAAACTTGACTTCTCATCATATCTATTTCTAAACATCTTGAAATTGGCCTCTGTCTCTTTAAGAAACTCCTTCTGCTTCGGTCCCACCCATTTCAGCACGGGACTGTGTGTGTGTGTGTGCTCTGTGATTAGGAAGCTCAGCTTGGAGACACAGTCCAGAGGAGGAGCTGATACCAAAAGGTGGTTCTAGTCCCAACTGGTCATTTTTGCTCCCCTGCCTGGCTGCCTCAGGACACTACAGGATTTCTCAAACATCCGTGAATGAGTCAAAGCAAGACTCTGGGCATGTTTTTGATGAGAGAATGACATTATAACATGATATAAAACTCAAAAAAGTTGATTTTACATGATATTGTCACTTTAATTAATGATGTTTACAAGGTTAACTAACCATTTATAAGTAAGGCTAAATAAGGTGTAGTTATCATAAAGTGTTACATCATCTAGCATCTGCCACAAAAGAGAAAAACCTTTTGTTTAGCTTCTCTAAAAGAGCATCAACAARTCCGCTTGTGCGTCACACTGAAAAACTGAAAGGAGGCATTTCAGAGGAGTTTACTCAGATCCTACATCTACTGGAAGACTAAAAAAGAAAACAAGTCATTTTAATCATTCCAACTATAATTACCTTTGGAATGACCAGAGCATGTCTGCATGATCCATCTACAACTACTTAGCCCTTTATTTATAAATTTATTCAAAGGAAAATGCTGCAGCTAAAACTTCCCTTCACTGCGGATATGAAACAACTGCTGGGAAATAAAATTACACTTTTGAAACTAGTTCATTAGCAAAAGAAAAGAAAAAAAAGATGAGAGTGAACGAATGGTTAGCAGGCAGGGAGCGGCAGGGGTGCTATTTTCTTGTATCTTTGTCAGGCACTATGCTTTGGGTCAGTGTTTCCAAGTTACAAGAGAACAGCACGCATCTCGAACAGAAAGAGTCGTCATACCTTTAAGGAGATCAGAAAAAAAAAAGAACAGTCAACTTTAAACTTGTGAGAAGGCAGGAATGCAAAGAGAGTGGGACTTGTGGAAACCAAATTACAAAGTGAGTGGAGTTAAGCTTGGTTTGCTTTTTTGGGTTGAAGCTTGTTTGGATGGGGCTGCGGTGGGGGGTGTGTGTGCAGATGCCTGTCCACCTCACAGTCGAGTTGAGCGTGCAGTGCATGCACGTGGGTGGGTGGCCGAGTTCGTGCTAAGGAACAAAATAAATAAATAAGAAAAAAACTGCTCTATGTGCAAATGAGGCCGAGCTCTGAGGAGGAGGGTCATGCTAGAAGATGTACACAGGAAGATTATTTGACGCTAAAAACTCATGCCAACCAACAGAATGTGATAAAACAACACAGCACTAGAGATAAGTGCCACTTTTCATAGGAGGCAGCAGGAATGGTGTTAATCAGAAAAGAGGAGGTTAAAAAGKATTTGAAATAAATTAGTGAAAGAAAGACAGATAATGTAGAGCTTTTGCATCATCTACRAATGACTTTCATGTGCGTGCAAATATAAGAAGCATGCAGCTAAATGAAAAGAGCAGAAACAGTGAAGAAAATTTATATATATATATGTATGTATAAAAACATGCATTTAAATTTGCCATAACTGAAGCATTCACAGCTAGAGAAGTTTTTAATTGAACATGACAGGGCTCAGTGGGATTTTGGTGCACTTTGGGGCCACACAGAGGACACAAGGGGTAAAACTCCACACTGAAAAAAGTGACAAAACAGAAAGAGACAGGGTAGCCCGTGGGGGCGCCTCAAAGACGAAAGCAGACCCACTTCACGACAGCTTTATTCCTCACGCCAGGACAGAAACTATATGTCAGGTTCATCTGGCACAAACTCCTTCTGCTACAGCCAACACAAAAATAGAAAAAAACAAAACAAAAAACAAAACCAAAACCAAAGGGAGTCTTCTGAGCGTCTGTCAGACAGAAAAAAGTTCACGTCACTGCCTCACAGAAAGAAGTGTCAACACACAAAGCTGTCACACACCTGGACAGACGCAGGTCTGTGCCAAGAGTTACTGAACGACATGAAGGCACACACGTCACAGCGTTACGTGTCGATCAAATCACACATGGAGGACACATTTCTGTCAATGCATCCTGTCAGGATTATGTTGGGTAAGACAGTGCTCTCTCTCTCTCTCTGCACTCTGTCACACACTGGTTCTTAAATCGTTTGGTTCAGGGTCTAACTCTGGAGCTCCAAGTCTTTCTGCTGTTTAACCTGAGTCTGATTTCCTGCTTAAACGGTTTTAATTTATCCACAGAGTTCAGCATTGAACTCTGCCTTTTATTCTAATGGGAATGTATGGTATTTTTAGAAGCTCTAATATTTTTATTTATTTATTTACCAGTATTTAACCAACAGAACTAATAATTAATAGCAACAGCAAGCTGTGGCACTTCTGGTACAACCTAAAGCCTTTCCTACAGGAATATGGGATTGCCAGCTTAAATAACACACACACACACACACACACACACACACACACACACA